GTGAAGAGTGCTCAGAATGAGAGGAAAGGAAACTTTGGAAGCAGGAAGTTGGGCTGAACTGTCTCATACATGTCATTTGGTGGTTGGGGAGTGGTCTCTAGAGGTGCTTTTAAAACTTTGCTTGACAAGAGCCTGCCTAGTCCCACTGCAGACAAGTCAGAGAATTCATGAGGCCCAAGTCCCCTGGGTTCTGTTGCAGAATCAACCTAGAGGTCTGAGGGCAGCAGGAAGAAATGCAATTTGTTTACACTGTGTTAATTTGAGATCTAAGGCTAGATCCTCTGTTAAGAGAGAATCTGTTGTTCAAAACCTGGTAAGTGGAAGCTATGGAGAGAGGGAGAAATTATTCTTCCCCAGGGATTATCCAATACCAAATATTCAGCAGTAAAAGTGTATGCATGGCTAAAAATGTATACATGTTTATCAATGTATGCATGTATATAAATGAATACATGTGCATAAGTGCATCTATGTGTACAAATGAATGCATGTGTACACATGCATGCATGTGTATAAATAAATACATGTATATAAATGTATGCATGTATATAAATGCATATATTGTAAAAATGAATAGATGTGTATAAATGTATTCATGTATAAAAATGCATATGTGTATATAAATGTATGCATGAGTATAAATGCATGCAGGTTTATAAATGCATACGTATGTATAAATATATGCATGTATAGCATGCTATAGTCTATGCATGCTTATAAAAGAATACATGTGTATAAATGCATGTATGTATATAAATGAATACTTGTGTATGAATTATGAATTTCTATAAATGCATACATGTGTACAACACAATAAATGTGTACAAATGTATATAAATATATATGTATAGAAGTATAAGCATGTGTATAAATGCATACAGGTATATAAATGCATACATGTGAATATAATTGCATACTTGTGTATAAATACATACATGTGTACAAATTCATAGATGTGTTTAAATGCATACATGTGTATAATTGTATGCATGTTTATAAATACATACATGAGAATCCCTGGAAAGAGCCGTGTCTGCAAACTGACTGAATAGAACTTCTGTGATATGGAAGGTTGAAGTGTTGTTGGTCTAGAGACTCATTAACTTATTCCCAGCTAACTGTAGCACCCTGAACAGCCATTTCTTGGACATGTCTGCAGGTGAGCTAACCTCCTATAACTAGTTAATTAAATATGTTTGAAATCCACTAACTTATGAGACAACTGACTTCCAACAACTTAAAAGCTAAAAATGACATTGCATAGCATCTTGGGCCTGTGGGATAAGTTTTCACATCTTGCCTGTGACTTCCTCTCTGTTGTTTCCACTAATCTTTTGATTTACAAATTTCTTATATTTGACTACAAAAACTTCATGAAACTGCCCCAACCTTGGAACATGGAATCTGGGGTCAGCCAAATCTGTGGTCACCAGCCATAGTCACTCAAATTTGGTTCTAGAATGAATTGTCTCTTCTGTTTGACCTGAGGGCTGAGGTTTTTCCTATGACACAAAAGCAATACTCAACACGAAACAATTGGTTCAGCTGGTTAAATCTGTGTACTCGTTTGTTTCTATACATGTGCACCCTTGTTCATAAAAATCATAAAACAAAATTAATTTGAGAGGGAGTAGGGCTGGGAGAACAGGATAGAGCTGGAGGTACAAAATGAAAGAGGAAATGATAGAATTGCATCTTAAATATTGAGGTGTTGGGGAGCAGAAAGATCAAAATACATTGTCTGTGATATTTTTATGAGCACTGTATTTAGTCTGCCTGATGTCCCGAGTGATAGAAAGTATAGAACGTGTATGTTAGAGAGCAGGTCTGCAGGGAAATTATCGACCAGAGGAACAAAGCAGCAGGCAAACTATTCCAGGAAGGGCATAAGAAAGAGAGCCCAGTCCTGGGCAACCACAAAACAGGCTTCTCACCAAAGAGTTATCCTGGGGTTTGAATGAAACCTCTGAGCCCATGAGGTCAGTAAAAAATACGGAATTGCAAAATTGGTCATTGCAGTGAAGGCCAAGACTGTGACATCCTGTTGTAAGTCTGAGTCACACAGCAGCCCTCTCGCCTGGTGATTGATACTGAATAGGTTTTCAAGTGTCAGCACCTGTAATGTTCTCATGATATGGTGGCTTCCCGGTCTCAAGCCACCATGGAGACATCCTCCAGCTAAACAGTAACCAGAGCAGTATTGCTGGGTTGGCCCCAAAGAGTGAGAGAATAGAGCCAGCCCCTAGAATTCACAGCTCAAAGTGGCTACATAGCTCCGATGTTCCAGGTGGGAAAATGGTGCCTATGAGCACAGGCTGCTGGACTTCAGATTTCATCCAATTAAGACTCAGGAACAACATAAGCCAAAGAAAAACAAGAGTCCACACTGTCAGCTGACCTCCATCCATATGTTCATCTTCTTTTTTTTTAATTTTTATACTTGACTTAATTTTTCTCCACTCCATTTAGCAGAGTATGTATGCTTAAATTATTTGAGAATACCTTATATGCACAGCATATGTGTTCAGCAAATCTGTGCCACCCCCATTACCACATATTCCTCCCTTATCCTTCCTGACACTTTCTCCACCCAAATTCAAGTGCATTCTCTGTAATTCCCCATAGAGTCCACTCTGCATTACCAGCATATACATTATAGTAAGGCCTTCTGCTGCAGTATGGGAATCCTCTCAGTGTTTACACCCTAAAAAAAACTGAATTTCCCATTCCTGGAAACTATCAAATGCCAAAGGCTCCTCAGGCAGAAAGGTATTCATGATCCTCTATCCCATTAATGTGTTTGGCGTCTTTTCCTGCAGGTCCTGTGCAGTAGGTTTGTGTGTGCCATGACCATGTGATGCAAGGAATAATTTCACCCCAAATCATGCACTACTTTTGACTCTTAGAAAAGTCTACCGGTCTTCTGACATGGTCTCTGAGCTTTGGGGAAAAAGTGCATGATAAACATGCTCCATGTAGAGCTGAGCACAGTCTCTTATTATCTGGTTGGTGATCGCTTATAGGTCTGTGTAATAACCCCCAGCTATTGGAACATGAAGCTTCTCTGAAAACAAAAAAGCTTCATGTTCTCTGGAACATGAAGGAAGAATGCATTGAACTGTCCATATAAAGGTAAGAACTGAGGAGGCAGGTACAATATTTGTCTATTTAGCATAATAATTATAGTAGTTCTCATTTTGGATCAATAGCATGACTAGCCAGAGATTCTTAGGTCAGTTAAGGGAGTGAGGCATGAGATCTGTCTAATGGAACTGGACTTAAATATGATAAGAATATTATGGGTTACCCTTGTAATATTCATGCCACTATAAAGATATGCCACCAGTGTGCATATCTTTCCCTGCCAGTCATAGTTGTAGGTTTCAAAAATCACTGTTGGGTTAGAGAGTTGATTATGCTTTCTTTTTATTAATATGCATAAAACTTTTCAGCTCTGTGGATGCTAGCAGGTAGGAATAAAGTTTCCATGTCAGCCCCAGCTTGATTTCTCCAAGTCCTATAACCCAAGTATGCAAACACCATCAAATTCTGGAGGGCAACCACGAACAACAAAAATAATTTGTAATGTTTGGGTGTGTTTTGACAGCATTGACAAACAACTTGAAATGTGTCTAGCACTGGTATTTTTGTTTGATGACCCACGGTATCTGGGAGAAGCAATATTCTGCAGCTATAGAATAATGACATTTAAATTATTTATGTATGCATTTTAGGATGCTTCCATATTAGTACATTCCCATGTAGTTTTCTCCAAGGTCTTACTGTTAATCCTTCACACACTCCCTCTGCTGATCTGAACTC